ATATATACTTTTTTTTAAATTACACATCCTCCTCGAACAAATAGCTCTGCATGTGGCAAAAGAACAAAACTAGCCCAGGCAAAAGCCCCACAAACCCGGCCCAAATTGATGACACATGCTATAGTTAAACTTGTCACAAGTCAGTAATTTACATTCCTTTCTTTTTATTCTCGCATTGTTAGAAGTAATTAAAATATCTGTGAATATTTCAATTCGAGCGTTCCCCACGCAATTAATTAGTTTTGGCAGGAGCCCATCACTGGTTTTGAATAAGTTTTGAGAGAAACGAAAATGTTGAATGAACGCCACTGTTTCCCGACGCAAAAATATTTGCAAAAATCCTGAAAAGACGTGAAAATAATTTCGCTGTTAAACTTGACGTTGTTTTACGCGACAGCAAAGTGATTTGAAGTTAAGATATGAAGTCTGTGATTCTCGCCAAGTACTCAGCTTGAAATGAGAAGCTATAAGGATGTTCATCCAATTACGTAGAATGAGAATAAACTAGTGGGACGTCGATTCTTACAAGATTGTGACTCATTGTAATCGCTTACCAGATCCGACGGGTACGATGTTTTTCGTAAGTTCAAAAATTGTATTGAGTGCTGCAAAGTAATTCCGCTTTCTGCTGCGGGTACTTCTTTAGATTCCTTTTTGTGACCGGAAACATCCTGTGGCACAGAACATAATCTACCTCCTCTTCTCAATCCAATTCAAAGGCTTGATCGATGTAATGGGCAAACAGTCATTTCTGAAAAATTGACGGGCTTCACGAAAATCCCGCTTCTTGCTAAGATAAGTTCAATCTCTGTCTCAACACCTGAACATTGTAAAAAACGCTTGTGGCTTCTGATATCCATGCCGCATGATGACAGAGATACTGTTTGAGTGGACTGATGCCTTGCGCGTTCCTCTGCGCCACAAATGCCACCCACAATATCAAGGAAAGAACAAGACATTCTTTTTCTGCTGGAGTTAAAGCAACCGTTGTCTTTATTCCTTTCACCGACGATTATTTGTTTACTTTCGTTGACCGATCACTTTTGTTTCCCGTGGGTTAAATTTTATCCTTATTTTCGTTCCATAAGGCGTTCACTGTACGGTTTATATTTGTGAAATTTTGTAAAGTCTATTTATTTGTTGTATCATTTTCGTTCCTGATGGCAATATATTTGTCTAGATTTTATATGTGAGGCAGAATGAATTGTTTGTTGATCTCGTTACGTGATAGATTATCAAATGTCACGCATAGTGACAGGAACCTGTGAAAAATTAATTCAAATCTGGCAAATCCCTACAGCGTTACCAGCCGTTTTGGACGAGACCCTTTTGTGTGGGACGTCAAAAAACAAAACAAAATTAGGATCAAAGTAGACTAAACGTAACTGGGTTGCGATACGCCGTAGAAAATGACAATAACAAGTACTAACTTTATTTTACTCATCCCGACTCAGTGGCTTCAATGAGTTAGCTGGTCGGCCCTCTTTACAAAAAATTGCAAAGGACAGTATTTGGAAAACATCTTCCAACCGGAAGAACAAGGGCCTATAAATTATTTCTAAGGTAAGGAACTATTGATGTCAAAGCAAACATAAAAGCTAAGCGCGGCTGCGACTCAAACAGTGCTTTGCAATGTTGATTTTGTTCATTCCCTATGGCGCCATTTATAATTTTTAGCGAAGTTTGGTTGGTTGGTATATCAAAACAGCAGAAGATACCAGAAAAATAAAACCATGAATTTGAAGATCCACCTTATAAGCCCTCGTGATAGTATTGCTGGAGATTTTGAGAAACTACCACATGCTTTTTTGCCACACTATATTAGACCGGGTTTGGCATGAATTAAAAATGTCGAACACATCCACTGGTAACTAACCCGTGGTTTCATCAGGAAGGACACGATACAAAAAATATCACTATATCTGGTAATGGAAGGCCACATGTGTATATCTATAGCTAGAGAAGTCCTGCTGTTGCATTTCATGCAAGGACGATATCTATAGCTATAGATATCGTGTATATCTATAGCTATAGATATCGTGTATATCTATGTATGTATATCTATAGCTATAGATATGTATATCTATAGCTATAGATATGTATATCTCAGTATAGCTGTATATGTATATCTTTAGATATGTATATCTTTAGATATGTATATCTTTAGATATGTATATCTATAGCTATAGATATGTATATCTATAGCTATAGATATCGTATATATCTATAGCTAGAGAAGTCCTGCTGTTGTAGTTCAAGCAAGGACGGCCTAAAAACTGCACAATTTAGAGTTCGCGCGCACTAATTTTCGATCATGCAGTTGGTAACGATTTATTTCCATTAAAATGAATATTTACACAAATTAACCTCACTTCACTTTAAGCAGTACCAATAGTTACCTATAGACAAAAAATGGGACAAAACAATGTCTTAACCTTGTCCGCGATTTTTTCATTTTTTCTTTGATCTTAAGAGACATTTACCCTTAATTCTCTTCCCAAATGCAGTACCTCTGGTCAGAGGTGTCATTTTGAAACACATTAAAAAAATGTCTGCATTTCATTCGACGCGACGCCAATGCGACGTTAAAACTGAAGACGCGTTATCGATATTTTATCCGTCTTACCAAGGCGGATAAAACGTCAAAGACGAATTTAATTGACCAGACGAACTTAATTCGTTTTAGACGTCGCGCTATCGTCGAATTTAATTGCTTGTGGGGCCTTGATTTAAATTCGTCTAAATTAAATTCGACTGTAGCGCGACGTACAAACTAGGCTTAAGCGAATATAGATCTCATTTTGAAACAAAAAACAGGGAGCCGTTTTATTCCGTTCTCGGTGATGATTGCAAATTGCACGCTACTGGCAGAGTCAATACGCGTCCTGTTTTTTCTTTTTGATGTAAATTGCATATTGTTACGTCTTTCCGTTTATCTGTAGAGGCCAAGTTCAAAAAATGAAATGTCTACTCATGAATACTTTAACTGGATGACTCCTGTCGATTTTAAGTACAATAGACGACTTGAAAAACTCAAAAGAAACAACATCCGGGACTTGATTCGAAACATACTCAATTTTACTACTTGCCAGAAATCAGTCACGTAAAGTTTCCTCTTCTATTTGTAGAGGAATAGTAGCCTGGTAGATAGGATTTTAAGAACAACGGCTAAAGGATGTGAATCCAATCTTCTTGCGGAAATCCAACTCTGCACTTCGTGAGTAAATTTTGCTTTTGGTACAAAATTCCAGAATCGATCTGCATCATTATTCTCCACCTTCCCGTGAGTATCCTCAACTTGAAATGTCTGAGAAATATCACTTCATCAAACGCAGTCAAGTTGTCTGCTCCAAGAGGAACGCTGTCGTCAGGACTGTATTTCCTAACGGCGATAAACACGAAATATTCTAAATTACACAGCAAGAAAGGATAACAGGAAAATACGTTTTTCCATTTGACGCAATATCAAATCCAAATCTATTTCTGTTTTTACATGAGGAACAGCTTACAACACGAATAGAATATTGACTGAAGGCACTAGGTAAGTCAACATCTAAAGAATCTTAGTCTGTTCCTGATTTTGAACTAATGCTGCAGCAAATGAACTGCCTCGTCCGATGGGAACGATTATAAATGGTCAAATTCTTGATGTAATTCGGATAAAGCAATTTTTTTCAAGAAATAATTGCAAAAACGAGTCTTTTTAAGCGAAATACGATGTTCAAAAGAGAAAAAGTAAACAATGTATTTTAAAGGAAAAAAATTGCTTTAATTTGTTCGTCATTAGTTCCGTTCTTCTCACTTCGATTTTAAAGAAGGAACGAAAAAATCGTCCAATTTAACACTTTTCTTTTCCTAGAAGTGAGAAGTGCGAAAGTTGCCAAGGATAGCTCCAAATTTAAACGAATTCGGAAAGCTTGATATGCATTTCTTTTCAAAACTCATTAATCACAAGTGGCCTCATCAGCTTTGTCTCTATTTACATTATCAACCAAGGTAAACGTGATGAACTTAGCATATTCCGTGTCATTTGGGATCATCAACTGCCTCAACTGTTTTCTTCGTGATCAGATCCTAAGGGGCGAGTAAGGTAAGATCAGTAACTGAGAAAAAGGTGTGTTCCTCATCTTTTAAATTTTGACATAGGATGTTACTACTAAAAGGCATCTTGTCAGTGTTAGAATAAAAAGTTGGTTTATAAAAGTAACCAAGCTTACTCAAAAGAATTCTCTTGTTGAGAATTATCAAGAACTAAGGCTTTCGTCTTATTCACATAGTTCCCGTTTGTTTCTCAATGAGCTCAACTCTGTCAGTGTGCGCGAAACATTTACGTACGAGGGACTTTTTGTAGTGTCTGGATATCATTTTGAATCATTTTTACTACCTTTTAGAAGGAACACAAAATATTAGTTTGTTAAGGAAGAAAAACACGGAAGAGGAAATTATTAAACAAGGATGAGCAAGGACTGTAGATGACTGAAAGTTTTATTTTGATGAGATGGGAAAAAAAACCAAAGCTAGAGACCACCATGCATAAAATAAAAGAAATCAAGGAAAACCAAAGAGAAAGAAGAATGAATACAGAATGAAAAAAAATATACCAGTTCGGTAAGATACAAAGAGGTTCTGACAAACCAGCAATGAAAGAGTAAGGCAAAGGATGAAATATATTAAAACAGATTGCAAATAAATTCAAAATATCAGTTCTGTAAGATGCAAAAACACTGAAGAGATACTACTAGATAACAACATAACAAGGATGGCTAATGGTGGCGAAGACTGAAAAGGATGGCAAATTATGAAATTTAAGCCAAATTACTCACAGAACCATAATAAACCCTTGTACGTGTTTGCTCAGTCGCACTTTACACCTGTAGTACTTTAAAATAAAGTTTGTGTAAATCTTGTAGGGAGGTTTAGTAGACCCATGGATGACTGTCATTACTATCAGTAATGGCGACAGCCCAACAGGTATTGCAAAGTGCAACGATTATAACAAAATGAGACAAAACAAATGTTCCTTCAAAAAACGTTGCTGCTTTGGTCTGTTTGTTTGTTTTATTTTTTCAGACAGACAACTTTGCCTAAAAATTAAAAGGGTTACAGACTTCGAGTTCGTGGTTTGACGGAAATTAGGCCAAAAGATGGTTCTGAATTCTCCATCCTTAACATAAATTTAAACTTTTGGTCCATACATATTACCGTAGGAAATGTGTGTGCTTGTCGATAGCTCGCATCAGTACTTTATCTTTAAGTAACTATAATTGGTTGTTAGGCGGCTTTTGATAATTACGGGACATAAATCAACTAGACACTTTTCACTTCAGGTCATCTTTAATGCTTATTAGCTACAAATTTAAGGTTTCACGCTAGCATATGGATCAATAATTGACACACAAAGAGATAAGAAATGAAACTAAGACTCGAGTGCTCATTGGTTCAACTTTAGAGTTAAGCCGGAGTCTTTAAGATCAAATTTTCATGTAGATCGTTGATAATCATAAAGGGACACAATTCGTTCATTTCTACAACTGTGAAAGGTTTGTTATAGTCGATTTATTATCTCTTGTCGATAGGTTTGTCGATGAGACCATGTGTCAAGTTTGTCGTCGGCAATATGCGTAATTCGTCTCTCCTTTATCTTTATCGTTTCTCTTCTGTCTTAGTTTTAATGCTAATTTGTACCTCAGGTGCTCATCTTACTGAGTGAAATAGTTAAAGAGATACGGTGAGTAACCTTGTACAAATTAAAGATAGTACTATGAAATGTGGAAAAGACAAAATGGCTCACAAATTACACAAGTTATAACTGCGACTGAAGGCGCAAGACCCTTCATCGTCAATCGAGATAAAAACACAAACATGCAAAGATCAATGGGATTTAAAAGTAAAGTAGGAGGTAATTACGAAAAAAAATACAACAAAGCTGAAAGTTGAAATTATTCAGCAAATATTCGTATATATTCTAGTCATATCCCATATTTTGCATTAATGCCGAACGTACAGCAATGTGATGCATGCTCGTAATTACATACAGTAACATTTTTATATCTATGTTTTATTTAGTGGTACTAATAGGTCCATAAAATATTGAGATTCGAAATAACTTGATGAATAGTTTCCTCAATTCTAATCAATGTCAATTCAAGGCTGAAAGAGAAAATTTGGCGCTTCTAACTACTGACAAGTGTTGAAACAGTTATTCTAATTGTAGTGATGCTAATCAGCATGGGAAAACTTAATTGTTTTGCAGCGCTATCCTAAGATAAATAGATGCTGCTGGAAAAGCGAAGAAATGCTAATTTTAAACAGGTGAGGCGATTATTGATAATTATTATCACCAAGGCATTGAGGTGACATCTCTGCTTTTTGTTCCCTGAAAAAACTCTTGAATTTATCTGTAAAAAAAAATTGTTAAGAATTGATTATACCAAGGATTTTTATTTGTGGGTTTTGGAACCTCACGCATAACGTTGAATACGAATAAAGACCTTCTCACTTATGGGATCTGTTTAAATTGATTGATGGGGCGATACCCGGCGGGTCTTTAGCTTAGGCATTGTGTAAAGACAAAAGACGTTTCCTAAATAAAACTGAGTGGTTATTTGACGTGAAACCTAACGTCCTGTTTGAAGTTGGTTTATATCCCTTGCAAATTCCGCCCCAAAACGCTCGGTTTTTGATAATTTTGATATAGATTACTCAGAAGTAATACTTTTAAATGTAAATTTTCCACGTTCAGTTTAAGATTTCCTCAAAGCGTGGTTTTGTTGAATTTAACAATTATTCCACTTAGATGTTGTCTTCTGTAAATAACGAGTGATTCCCGATTTCAAGTACCCTTTCTCTTCCCTCAATACAAAGACGGAAATTGAATTTCATCGGCATCCTGAAAGCGACCTTAAAATAAATAAAACCACTGCGAAACAACAACAGTACAAAGTAAGAGATGCTATGGGCCCGCTGAGGAAAATTAGACCAGCCAATCAGTTGATCAAAACAGGCACGAAGAGGCTGTGAATAAATTTAAGGAATTGAAATGTTCACACCTTGAATTTGTATAAACCGCAGAGTAATATATCAACGTTTTATAAACAGGAACATTTCAGAGATCTCATGAAGTAAACAAAATGTGCTCTCTATACTGCTTTGAAGTATCGTTGGTAAGTACATTTTACCTGCATAATTTTTACGAAAAACCAAAATATGATATTTATCAAACATATCTGGGGTGAAACCCAATATGTTTTTTAAGGTATCTCCTATCAGTCATTTCTTCTGAATCTCTATTCGCTTTCCTGCACTTTTCCTGACGCAGTGTAGGCAGGCATGGCGCTTGCAACTCTGGTCTGTTCACTTCAGAGAGGTCACCGAAATCTAAATCATGAAATAAGCTTGGTATCTAATGCATAATCGTTCATGTACCGATCAATTGGTACACTGACATTTGACTTCATTCTAGTAAGGGCGAAAAGATCCGTGGAAGTTTTCTATTTAAATATTTTGCGCTGAGATCTACGCCTTAAAATAGAACCGAAAAAAACTGATTTAGACTAAAGAAATATTCATAAACAAGTAGACACGATTTAAGTCTAAAATAAAAATAAGGTTTGGGGTTCTAATTGGCAAGCTAGCAAAATACGTGGTCAGTGTGAAAGGAATATTTTTAGTTTCCTGTGATGAGTGACATAATGAATCCTTCCCCATATTTGACTAAAATTCTGACAGCATCATTAAAAGTTTCGGTTCACTGTATCTTGGCAGATACCTAATGTATATAAATCTCAGTGTTCTCTTGTAAGTATTCATTTAAAGGCGAGCTTACAGATTTATCGAGTTCACAAGTTGATCTGCTTAATCAAAATGACTGAGATTTAATCTGATTCTCCCTATTTGAATAAAGAGAAATGCATGTAGCTCATTAACATGAATTGATGTACTCATATCACAACTGAAAACCTTAAGTGCAAGGCTAATTATTAACATAGTTAAAGAATTCATTTGCATTAATTTGTTTAAGTCCCGGTAGGCGGTAAGTTTTAAGAACTCTTCAAAACAATCTAAATTTTCTTGAGTATTATTCAAAGTTCCTAGCGAAAACAACGTTGAAAATTCAGCAATTCATTTTGCAAAAAAGCTAATTATTTCATGTCCCGTTTTTTAACAAAAACTTTAATAACGTACCTTTTCATGAGTGATTATCATTTGCAGGATTTTTACAAATGTGTTTACAATTTTGATGGAAATCGTATCACTTTACATCACAGAATAATCAAGGAAGCAGGCTTCTGAAAAAAAAAAACTCGAATTTAGTCTCGTGCTTAAAAAAAAAGATGAAAAATCATGTTAGACTAGGTAATTAAATAGCTAATAACATTTTGTATTTAGGATTTTTTCTGTTTCCTTGAATGGGCCATTTTACAGTTGTGTACTTAGTTGCCAAGCCTTTGATTCAGAGTGAGGCTAAAGGTGACCTTGTTGTGATAGAGACCTGTATCTACTTAGCATGATAACAAAGTGATTTACATTTGAAAGGCAGCAAGGTTTGTATCATAACAAGGTCACCCCTAGCCTCACTCCCATTCAAAGGCTTGGCAACCAAGCACACAACTGTAAAATGGACTATTAAGATAACAACTTTCCAATCTAAATATAAGTCCCGCGGCTTTGCTTTCTGTATAATAAGCTATCGGATAGTTTTAATTTCTTCCATGCTGTTAAAAATATCGCCTCTAGTTACACTAGTCAAAACAAAGCTATTTAAGAAGATCATGGGAACAGAAATGACTCTTTGGGTGTGAGATTTTCTTAGTTTAAGGCGAAGTCTCAAGTTGAAGTTTCAAGATAAATTCTTAACATTTTGTAGATATATTTTTTTGTACTGTGGGAGGTGCCCTTTCCTTTCCGACGACGAGAATAGCCTTCGCCATATTATGAATATATTCACCAATAATGCGACTTTTTAAATAATAAAAATGCTAAGCAATTATAACTGTACAAAGGCATTACACTGCACCCAATGATTGCAATTCCTATTTATTCTACCAGCACACATCTCCAAAGGAGATTCAGTTGTTCTTTTTGCTTGGGAGTTGGGATATGTCTAGAATGTTCATAGATTTGACGATTTTAGCGAATTTCAGTCAAATTCATTAAAGCGGAATTGGCGATTTTGACGAGTTTTGAATTCGTCGAGGCGAAATCAGCCTGGGGGATTTGACGATTTTGAAGAAATTTCGCCATTTCCTTGCGTTACCGCGTGCATTACCAGGCACAAGCGTGGGAACTTATCTCTTTTGGTGCCGCCAAATTAATTGCCTTCGACCGTGTGGTTTTAAAGATCAAGGTATAGAGCATTTTAAGTCTAAAAGTTCTTAGATTCATTGATAATGATAACGATGATGACGAAGATAATCATGATTATATGAGGATGAAGATGAGGCTGTCAGCGATATGTATTCCGGAAAAATAAATCCCTCTACTTTGTGAAGATTTTCCTAATGGCCCATGGGTACGGATTTTAATCTGAACGACCTTGACATTGATTGGAAAAAAAGTAATTGGAAACATCACTCGTAGATCATCAATATTGCACGTTATTATATGGCTTTGTCTCACAAAGACTGGTAACTACCTAATTCACGAATTTGATTGGCTGAAATCAATATTGAGAGCGGTCTAGATTTTCCCATCTAGACCGGCATCTAGACCGGTCTAAAAAAAAGAAGGTACAAAGAATGTAAAAAATTGGTATGTAAGACACAGCCATATAATAAACATCTTATTAACCGAGCTAGGTCGGTCTGTATGGGAGAATCTTGACCTCGGTCGATGGTACAGACCTCACTGCGTTCGGTCTGTACTGGCGACCTCGGTCAAGATTCTCCTATACAGACCTCCCGCTCGGTTAGTAAGAACTAAATAATTCAGGTTTGAATACTGAACGCAGAAACATAGATCTCGCTGTGAAAATATAAGCAAACCCCCAATTTCCGAAAAGCAAGTAATATTTTTGTTGCATTACTACAAAACCATATACTAATTATTCCATAGCGCTTGCCAGATAGAATCTGGTTGGAAACAACACAACGGCGAATGAATAACATTCAAATTCCGGTAAAGTGAATTACCAATAACTTTCTTTGTTTTCCTCGGATATTTGGAGTCTAACAGGCGATAAGAAAGATACATCGGATATTCTCGTCTTGGGCTAGCATATTAGGCATTATTTAATATACTTGAATAAACGCAAAATAAGTTACGTTGAAAAATCCAAACATAGCATCGGATGCTGTTTATTTTCTGGCTATGAGAAGAGTCACGTATTCTCCCCCCAACTGATATAAATCAATGAGTTATCTTGATCTGGGAATAAGGGTTTTCAAAGCTCCCATAGTACTCAAGTTCATTTATAGATTAAAAATTTCGTGAACGTCCTGGAAGGAAGTTGAACTGATTAGACTCCTTTGAGCTATTTTAGTATCATTGAAAATGGACAGAAATCTTCAAAATGTTTCCTTTTCTCTCAGAAATGGCTTTGCGAGGATCAAATAAAAAAATTTTAGAATCACTATAATATTCAGTACTAGCATTTAGGCTTAAATGGATTGATCTTTATTAAAATACAAAATTTAAAAGTTATAAGTGAAATTTTTCACAACCGATTGCAAAGCAGTTTGTTTTTAGTCCCCTCCCCAAACATCTAATTGATTGAGTCTGATTCGGGTGAAAAGTCAGTTGCAGATTTTTTAAGCAAGCAACAAAAAAATAAGTTATTGAGATGTTTATGGAACAATAACAATAGCATGATTAGAATTTCCTGTTATTTAGCCACACTGATTATTTTACAGATAACCACAGAAACTTTTCGTTGTCTACAAATTAATTGAAGTCACCTTTATACTTCTAACCACATCAATTTTGAAAGCATCAGTTTTTCACATAATGCAGACCTTATTAAAAGAAAAAATTGAAAGGCGATTTTTATCTGAGCAAGATGCTTTTTTGAACAAGAACGACAATAGTTATGATCTGTTTCGTGTCTACAGTTTTGTTTTGGTACAGTTTTACTTTTGTGGAAATACAAAACAAAAGCCAATAAGTAATTCATCTTTGTTTGGAGAATGCGAAACACTTTTAAAACAAAATTTAATTTATGTGATAGGAAATATGTGTCTGAATAAAGACATCTGTGAAAGTTTTATATTGCCATCTTAATAGGATGTTTTGACTATTTGAAGTTGAAAACCACACAATGAATAAACGCTGTCTCCTTTGTTTTTAGAAGTTTTGTTTAGATTGACTATTCCATGTAATATCCGCTGTGATGTGACAAATTATATCACAAGTCAGATGTAAATTTTCCCAGAGCAGAATCAGAAAAGAATTGAAAAAAACGACAAGTTTGATTATTGTTTTTTTCTCAGTTAAAGAATTAGAATCAATTGCTCTCCAATTTTAATGTCTTCCTCGATATTACAAGTAAGATAAGTTCTTCAATGCAATTTCTTATTGTAAATGAATGTTTTATAAGTTGGTCTTAATTTTTTTTTTCAGCTATTCGTTTCGATTGGCGTAACGAAATTATCAATCGGGGAAATAACCACATGCATTCCCAAAGGTGAGAGTATTCGATCAAGGGGAAAACTTATTTCGCACCATGTACATGAGTTGTAACATATAGTTTTTAGTCTAATTTTCAAATTGGAGGGTCAAAATTTCATAGCAAGCTCTGAGGAGAAAAAATTTTCAAAGAAGCTGAGGAAATCACTATTTGTCCTTGAAAATTTAATTAACAAGGCAGTACAAAAAGACATTAATAAAATATCAGGTAATCCGCAAAAATTCTTCGTCTTTGAAAAGAATATCAAGATATTTGTAAAATGGTACCCGGTGGAGAATTTTAGAACATATTTGTCAAGTGCTGCTTAAAACAGCAGGCATCCCAAGCACCAAATAGTTCAGTCCACCTTTCACTTATCATTTGCCAGTGTAATTACAATTGACGTTTTATAAAGCAACTCGACACTATATAGCCGAGTCTTGACGATGAGAAACTGAATTAGCGAAAGAGCGAATGTCGATCAAGAGCTTATGCATGATGTTATATAGATCGATAAATGTTTACAAGGGATATAGAGCCCGAGATTAATAGGAGTCAAGAAGAAATTTAAAAAAAGGGTAAAACAGTTCTGTCTCTACATCTTCTACTAATAATTGATTCGCTTTTGTTAACCAATGCGTTATCAGTTCTCTTTGAATTTCTTTCCGGAAAAGTTGGTAACGAAAAATGAGACATTTACAATATTTAAAGGCGATCATTAAAATCTTCAGCGGCGCTGTTGACTGAAAACACCTCAGTTTAAAAGATGAAATTGTATTAAGCTAGGATTGTAGATCGAACTTATCGACACAATACCGATAAATCATTTAAAAAGCTATGGTACGGCTGTTTCTTCAAACGTTGGGAAACATTTTCAACCGCCACTACAACGAACGTATAAGCACCTATGATACATGTACGTAGAGGATACCTTTTTTGTACCCATATTTTTTGTGAGTCAGGTTAAAAGAATATTTTTTCATTAACAAAACGAGTGATCCATCAAATTTGAATTTTCTATTGGTATTTATTAAAACAGAATATCGAGGGGTCCGACGAGAGACATGGACTGGTCTCAACGGTGGCTGGTTTCTGACTCATCTGACGACGAATCCAAGATATCCAAACTACCCAACAAATGTTGAAATTCTTCCAACGTTCACACCGCCCAAAGATTACGGCGAATTTTACGGTCAGCGGTTACAAGCTTATTTCGTGCCGCCTGTCAGTGGAAATTATAGTTTTTACGCCACGTGTGACTCAGAATGCGCCTTCTATTTAAGTTCGGACGAAACACATGAGAACAAGAAAGAAGTCATTCGAATCGATCAGCTGCACAGGACTAAGTATGAACAGTGGGACAGGTAAACTGCAAATGCTTTTTTTCTAAGTATGGACTACGATCTAATAACATAGTGCTACAAACACCATTAGCTATAAGAACCTTGGCAACTCTTGGTTACCGTGCATTTGCTGCTGCTGCCCCTCAGCTCTGGAACTCCTTGCCAAAAGAGATGAGGGAGGAGCAGAGTCTTAATACTGTCAAGAAAAAGCTCGACTCATCTTTTGAGGAACGCATATTTAAATCAGTATTTTATATTTTACAACTTTTATTAACTTTTTCTAACTTTTAGCCTATCACATAGTTTTGTATTTATTTTAGATAATTTTAAGATTGTAAAGTGCATTTGAAAACGTATATTGGATTTGAGCTATATTATTATTATCGCAGAGAAATCAACTGAATGCTACATTCTAATCAGGCAGCACAGGGCGAAAACCGTAACCTGTGAGCCATGAAGTAAAAAATAAATGTACATTAACTAATCCTAAAAAGCTTTTCCGTTGTGTCTACGGTCCTCCTTCTAACAGGAACTCAAACTGCCACCTTGAAAGTCCGGGCAATATTCAGTGTACCCGAGAGCACTGCCCTCTGCATCTTTCGCAGTACGGCTGTGCTTCTGCCTCCCGCCAGCTCGCACATCATGACATCCAGCTCCCGTGACCACCCTCCGAGGGCATCCATTATGATGTTATACTGCTTCACCTCGTAGCCTGGGAACTGCTGCCTTAGTTCCCAGCGAAGGGGTCTGTACTTCAGTGTCTTCTCTTCATCCTTTCTTGTCCGATTGTTAACCCACGGGCAGCTCATTTCCAGCGTCACAACTCT